AAATTATTTGTAAATGTTACTAATTATTGAAAGAAACGAGACAGGGCACGTGTTTGATTGCTTTAGTAGAATAACAATTCATCAGTAAATTAATTACTTTTTAAAGACTTACTGAGGTTTTTTTTGCTTTGTCTTTTACTAACTTTCTTAGAAAGAATGCCTTATGTGTTCAGCAATTATTACTGCCCTATCGTTGTGCTGCCATATCCTATTCTACTTTGCACCATAATGTGCCCAATTCTGTCCCTCTCCCCCACTTTTGTCCAAATGCAGATCCGGCATGGTCAGGTGGTTAGGGCGCTCGACTCGCAATCTACGGGTCGCGGGTTCATATCCCCGTCCCACCAAACATGCTCGTCCTTTCAGCCGTGGGTGCGTTATAATGTGACGGTCAATCCCACTATTCGCTGGTAAAAGAGTAGCCCACGAGTCGGCGGTGGGTGGTGATGACTAGCTGCCTTCCTTCTAGTCTTACACTGCTAAATTAGGGACGGCTAGCGTAGATAGCTCTCGTGTAGCTTTGCGCGAAATTCAAAACAAACAACAAATCGTCCAAATGCAGTCAATGTTCTTCCTGACTTCTCGGTCAATATAACGTAGGACCGGGCGTGGCCTAATGGTGAGTATGCTGGACTGTGAATCCGAGGATCCATGGTTTGCGTCTCGTTGTCATTAAATTACCTTTCGCATGTTTGGATTGAGGGTGCGATATAAGGATGACGGTCAACACCCACTTTACAATTAGGGTATCCCTAGAGTTGGCGGTGGGTGCTGTTGATCAACTGCCTTCGCTCTAGTGCAGATAGTCCTTGTGTAGCTTTGTACGAATATCCTAAACAAACCTTCTTAACTAAAGGGAGTTAAGGAAAGGTTACATACACGTGTTACTGGAATTGTTGTTCTTTCAGAACAGTGCATGTTTCAATCTCGTCAAGACACATTACCGTCTGAATGTGGCAGCACACTGCTGTTCCAAATACACATTTGTGTAGAGCTTGTGGCATTGAAATATCAAGGGGTGGCTCGAGTCTTCTGATCACACACAGGGGTGAAAAAATACAGTAGTGAAGGTAGATCGATTTGTCGCGGCACGGTTTGTTGCAGTGAACGAACCGAAAATGAACATCTACAACCTACTCTATTATATATAAACGACAGAGAAAGAGAATGATTATGTTGTTTAAACCGAAGGACATAGAAGGATAGATAGATAGAAGTAATTATTTAACGTTTAACTTTTTTAAGCACAAAGCTACACGATGTGCTCTGCTCACCACGGGTATCGAAACCCGGTTTCCAGCGTTGTACTAACCTCTAGGTGTTAAGAGAACAGATAAAACACTGGATCAAATTGAGAGAAATTGAAACACAATATTACTCAGTTGTTGTTTTTTAATTACTTTTCATGCTATATATATATATATATATATATT